ACGATAATATTATATAATATTAATTATATTTTTTGCAAAATCATGATGAACACGTGATTTCGGCTACTTTTGACCAGTTACGATGCGTGATTTATTATTTATTGTTTCATTTAATATTTGCCAGACTATAGTAGTAAATAATTATCCTTCTATTACATAATTTTCTGTGAGACAAAAAAAAAGGTATCTGTAATGTTAATTTGTACCAACTGGTTTAGTTTGTATGTTAGTCGCAAGATGGAAATACATGTTTTACGCAAACGCAGCTACCAGTCTTTTTTAGCTGGTGGCGTTCCGAATTGCGAAGGTGTTGAAAAAATTGGTTACGGTTACGGTAAAGTGATAACAATCAAGTATTTTATATTTCTCTGCTAGCATTCAGAAGTGGTTCAAATTTTAGTTACCAATTTCATCTAAAGATTATTTTTTTTAAATAGTCCTAGTACTTTTTAAAGATTAATTTTTAAGTAATAAATTAGTACATACTAAATTCTTCAAACTCCGTAATATATTCCCAATGTCAGTATTACTAACAGGTGATAAAAACACAGGCTTTTAAAGAGTATAATAGCTTAGAAAATAAAAAAGGGCACAGTCTAAATATATACCAATAAATAAATTCATGCTATATTTTCGTCAATCCCGTTAAATAACTGATTATGTCTTGTCATTAAGTAAAAAAGGGAAAAGCAAAAGCTTGACTTCATAATTGTAAATTTTATAAATATCTTTTGGAATAATGTCAATAGAAAATATATACTTTATAATTTGTGAGTTATTCCCAAAAGATATTTCAAATTATAGTGTACTTCCTATGCTGTAATTATAAAATATATTAAATATAGCTAAATTAATCTTACTAATTATTATTAGTAGTACTTACAGGACTGGATTATCTGTACTTTTCATAATTCATAAGATACAAAGTTCTACGTTTCATTAGGTAAATGCAATTTGACATACTGACAATAGTTTGATCAATCAAATTTCTATGGAAACTTATATTATTAACCTAAAAGGAGTCCATATTTAATTTTACACTGTTATTAATTAGTTCGTAATAAATGAAGAGTTTATTATACCCAAAGATAGGAAGTTAAAAGAACCCTAGTATTTTACAGTATTCTCCGATTAATACACGTTTACGTCTTAAATATGAAGGATCGATGTTATTCAGATGTCTGTACAATTAGCATATCCATTTTATAAGGCCGAATTCAGACCTATACTATAATTTATTGCTAATTAATTACGGAAAGAAAAAAAATATTGCTGTAGACATTTCCGAGAAATAGTGGGTATGCTAACTTTACGGTAAAGCTAGCATAGCCATAGCTATATCTCGACAAGGAAAAGGTGTATAAGGCCGATCTTAGCAGCATATTTTGTTGCCAATTAATTGCTGTTAATTGGTATATTAACCAATCCCCCAAAACTACCCCATCATTCCCTAAGTAAAACACACCTTTGGAAAATATAGACATCGGCCAAAAAGCGAAGCGCAAAGAATTGATTGCTAATTGATTACCGAAGTTTTACGCCAAGAAATAATATACTACTGCAACCGTTTCCGACAAATAATGGCTATGCTAGCTTTAACACGTTGCCTGGCATAGAGGAATTTGTAATACTTTCCGTTCACGCCAGGGCCATTTCTGATATATGGTCGAAAAAATTACCGCTCATGCCACGGTGCGCAGAGGTACCTTTATACAGCCTGTAATGATTCATGTTTAAAAATTTTCAAAATTCCTCTTCTTACAAAACCAAATTGCGAAAATATTATATGTAACATATAAAATGTAACGTCTCGGTCACATTGACCGAGACGGCACCACAGTCAGGTTAAAATTCTCGGTCAAATAGACCTCGCTGGCGTGCATGGTAATGTTTTTCTCGGTGAAATCTCGGAAAAATAGGTTTTTCTTTATGATAACGTTAAGAAGCGGTAGGGATAAATCAGTTTCCACCTCCAACGTGAAATGGATACTAGAATGTTTACCATTCAGATGGGTTTCAAAAGACACCAAAGCATCCCTGCCATTGGGCCAAACGACGAATGTATCATCAACATATCGTAGCCCACATGTGGATTTGAGAATTGATGTGAAGAGTGCTCGGGTTTCGAAATCTTCCTTGAAGATATTGACAGTTATTGGAGATAGTGGGGAGCCTATTGGGGCACCATTCATTTTGTCTGTAGAATTATTTTGGAAGATGAAATAAATGTTGGTCATTCAATGTTTAATGAGGGATAACTGGTCTTGCTGGATACTGTATTTAACAAGAACGGCTACAAAGAAGTGGGTAGCTCACAAATCTCTGGAACGGTGAACGAATTCACCAGGGCAAAGACAGGTGAAATAGTTCATTACAGAACATCGCCAAAAATTTACAGCAGACCTTAAGCAAAGACAGGAAAACAGTCAAAGCCATAGTAGGTCTTCTAACAGGGCACTGTAAGCTGAATAGGTACTTGAAGCTTATGGGATTATCAGATAATGACCTGTGCATATTCTGTCACCTCGAAAAAGAAACAGCAGATCTCATTCTATGTCAGTGTGACAGTCTGTCAAATGCGCGGTTCTTTGGATTAGGAGAAGAAAATCCACCGGCAAATAGCTGCCTGGAAGGTACAGTCTCGAAACTATTCTATCCTATCCATCCTATCCTATCCTATACCATATCCGCTATGGTATAGGAAAAAACACACGATTAGAATAAGCTGGACGAAATGCATCTACCCACGTCAAATTTTTTTTAATTTGAACTTGGCCAAAAATGTTCAAGAGGGTACCATTAGATTTTTTTTTCAAAATTCAATAATCGGGTATATTGGCGTTAATTTAGGCCCGAGAGTCAAACCGTTGCACTTTCTCACATGAAATTGACCGCTAGTTCTTCTTACATGCTCAGAATTGTCACATACAACGGTTCGTGACAAAAATTCCAGTTGGATGCCTACAGATCCTGACAATTTCGTGAAAATAAAAACTTAATATTTCGTTTCAAATTTAATTTACTTCGATTAAGCCTGACGCGCTGATCAAAAAAATATATAGGTATGTGCTTATGAGAAAATGCACCGTATGGCCGGAAATTAAAAAAAATATATAAATTTTATCATCATTTAAAAATCCGTTAATCGGACATAAGTATATTGGCATCAATTTAGGTCCGAGAGTCAAACGTTGCACTTTCCTTACATAAAATTGGCCGCTAATTCTTCTCCCGTGCTCAGAATTGTCCTACATCTAAGAGTGCGTGAGAAAAAATGCCAGTTGGATGCCTAACCATTCTGTAAAAATAAAAACTTAATATTTCGTCCCGAATGTTTAAAGGTGTACTTAAGTACCCATGGATTTTTTTTCAAAATTCATTAATCGGTTATATTGGCGTCAATTTAAGTCTGAGCGTTAAACAGTTGCACTTTTCTTACATAAAATTTGCCGCCCGTTCTTCTCCCGTACTCAGAATTTTACTACAGCCAACAGTTCGTGAGAACTGAGAAATTCCGTTTCGTTCCAAAATTATCCTTAGGTGATGAAATTACTCTGAACAACTGTGTGTAGCTTTGATGTACTGCACTAAATGTTTACAGTTAAGAAAAAAACAGGGCATGTGTAACATGTGCATGTTAACAAAGTAAAAACTGCTTATATCGAGTATCAAAACAGGATAGTTTAAGACTAAGAATATACTCTTAAGCGGAAGTCTAGGTCTGATACCTAGCAGTTGATTCCAAAATGAGATCCGACATGAAGATGTTTAGAGCAAGTATTTCAAAACGAAAGTAATTTTTTGATTTTGGAATTTAATTTAATTTAATTTATTCCGAAACCAGAATCTTTCGCGCAAAATAACTTCAAGACGTTCCAAACGTAACAGATATTATGAACAAATGTAATTAGGAAAATCGACCACCCATATAGATAAAGCCAACGTTAATGCTAATCTTTGGGTTATACCTAACTATAATTATGCTAATTTTTTTATAATGTTCATTTGTTGAGAATACAAGTTTAATTTAATAAAAAATTCTTTTGTATTGTCTCTGTTTTCAGTAGTATATATAGATATATTACAATCGTTTTTAAGACTATTTAGAAATAATCTTATTAGCTGATTTTTACTGTAGTGTAGGATTTCAAAAAATCCTATTTGGGTGAATATTTTTTGTTAATCAACTAATCCCTAATCACTTATTCATTTTAAGCCAGAATGAAAGATATCTTTTAAATTTGACAGATGTCATTAAAGGTGTAAACAGTGTAATATGCATTTATCCGTAATTTAAGCCAATTATAACCAAATTGCTAAAGAAAAAATATTAAAAATAGTTGGTAAAAATACTTCTGCAAAACTCAAACTTTTGTGGCGAGTATATTGCGAATTAACATTAAATTAAACTGTGACTTCGCCATTTTCTGATACCATTTATATGTTAGATAGAGATCATATGAGAGGGGTATGTATTGTGGATAGAGATAGACGATAGACCATTTTTTAGAACAAAGTGAATGCAAATTATAACGTACCAGAATGAGATACACTATACAGGATTGACATTTCCTAATTTTGACACATTGACGTTCGAATTAGATGATCGGCATTTTTCGCCTCTCGGGCTTCGTCGTTGACGAGTGTGGTGTTTCATTTTTAGCTGGGTGATTTTTTATGTTGTTTGATGTTATAAAAGACTGTATGATGTAAAATTATAAAATAATGTGAGTTTTTCCTAAATTACAGTGTTTTTCTTAGTGTTAACGCTATTCCTAAATTTATTTAAGAATATTTAGGGGATTTTATCTCTTCGGCATCTTTGCCTAAAATTTGACATGGCGCTGATGTATTTCTAATTAGGCGAATAATTGTTGTAGTCTGTTTAACTATGAGAAAAACATAGCTAAACAGTATTAAATACAAACAAGTGGCTTTTAATTTATAAAAGTTTTTTCTGTGCAATAAGTTTAAAACTGGATGTTTTTAGTTCTTGAACAATGGAGGAAATAACCTCGGGACTAGATCCCGACGAACTGATGGATCTAGATGAGCCTGAAGGTTCCGATCTAGACGAGGATGAGGAAGACCTCATAGACGATCACATTTCCTCACCATTTATTTTATCATCTGCGCCTGGATCAACAACCAATTCAGTTGCTTCATCTCCAATAAGTGAAGAGTTTCCTCCACCTTTCAGTTTTTCAGGAAAACCACTCAATGTCAAACGGGGCCGTGGAAGACCAAGGAGAGAAGGAGGTAAGTAATGTCGTCTAGACTTTTATTTCATTAAAGTAAACTGATTATTTTCCTTGTTTTTAAAAACAGTATGTGGTTTGGTGACAACAATAATACAAATATTGTATGGAAGTCACTGAGACTATATTCTTACCTTAATCACATTATACCAGTAGGTACTCAGTTGGGTAGCATTAAACATTAGAGATGACTTAAATACATTATTCTTAAAATTGTGTGTGAATTACATACAGGCTATAAATACTCAATTTCATAAAGTTACACAAAAGTTATTTTGAAATAAATGTATTTATATATTATATATTTTGTTCAAGTATTTCATTAGGAATAAGGGGTACAGCAAAAAAAATTTTTTTTACCTAATCAATCAAAAAACAACAAAGCTTAAATTTCTCTTTTTTTGGGACAAAAAGTAGTTTTTAGGGTATTATAAATTTTAAATATACATAGTCAATAATAATTTAATTGTTGACTATGTATATATACATAGTCAACAATAATTTCCTCTTTGTTAACGATGTTGAAAAAGTCATTAAGAATTCAAAATTTCTGAACTTTGCTGATTATAAAAAAATTTATAAAGTCATTACTTGTCAGTATGATCAAATTCAGTTACAAGAGGATCTGAGCAGATTTAGTGATTGGTGCAAACTAAATTAATTAAAACTGAACATTGATAAGTGTTGTGTTATTACTTTTCACAGAAAGCAAACAATTTTAAATTACGATTATAGTATTGATAACACTCAGCTGTCAAGGCAGGACTGTGTTAAGGATTTAGGTGTTTATTTTGATTGTAAATTAACATTTCGTAATCATCTAGAGGTCACAGTAAACAGTGCATTTAAATAATTAGGGTTTATAACTAGAAACACTTCTCAATTTTCATGTTTTGTTTTATCAATTGTTTTTAATAGTCTCATTCGCTCCAGACTAGAATATGCAATAGTTGCATGAGGACCTTACTATCAAACCTCTATAGACAAGCTTGATCGTGTTCAGCATAAATTTGGTAAACACTATCATTACTGTAGTGCTTTTCATGACCTTTCTGTTCCATACAGTTATAGTATGATAGCTGATCACTTAAAAATGGTTTCTATGAATGGGCGAAAAGATTATTTTTGCCTAATATTCCTTTACAAAATTGTTAATAATTTGATAAACTGCCCTGAACTTTTAAATCGATTAGGTCTTAACACTCTTCATGGAACTAGACGTACTTCATTATTTCATCAATTTAATTATGAATACTTCAAGCCTCTTACTCATATGGTGAGACTATATAATAGGTACCAAAGTCATCTGGACTTATTTTTCCAGTCCTTAGAACAATTTAAAAATGTGATAAAGAGACTGCTATTTGTGTAATATTAGTTTGTATTCAAGTTAATTATTAGTTTTTGTTAAAATTTACTAATTATTTTCCAATGTTGTGCTTACTTTGTAAAATTTTATATATTATATGTTGTTCCAATGTAAAAATGGTATATCCGTTAATAAATAAATAAATAAATAAATAAATAAATAAATTGTGCATTGACATTTAGAAGCCATTTTCTAAAAATTAAGGAAACAGGATTTCGTAATCTAGGTTTTATTTATCATAACAATTATGATCTCTCACCTATTGTATTAAAATTATTGTATTGCTCTCTGGTACACTCAGGTCTTGAATACTGCTCTTTTGTTTGGTGCCCATTTCATCAAGTCTACATTGATTGATTGGAGAGCGTTCAGCAGAATTTTCTAAGATCTTTAGCTTTTAAAGCACATAATAATATAAGAAATACTGAAAATTATTTCATTGATTATTCTGTAATAATGTCTCAATTTAACATTTAACAGATTGAGAGCTATGTTATTTTTGTTAAAAGTTTAAAACAAAGTTATTAATTGTTCCCCATTATTAGCTAATGTGTACTTAAACACAAAACATAGAACTCGACACACTACACTCTTGTAAATTGCTTTTCATAGGACTGATTAAGCTCATCCCTTGTTGAGAATGCTTAGCTCTTGCAATGACCTCATATTGGATCCATTTTGTTTAAACCCAATCATTAATTTAAATATGTGATGTGTTTTAACTTTTGTGATCTTTACTTTTTACTTTTTGTTGTATTTTATTGTAAATGGTTCTTCTGTTGAAATAAATAAATAAATAATTGGGAATTAAAATTATAAATATCTAGTGCTTTTACTGTTAAAAATAAAAAAATGTAATAAAAGTTTTCAATAATATGTAATAATATATACATTCATATAATTCTTTGATAGTGGTGAGAAACCACATAAGTCATTTTGTTTGTTTTGCAGTAGAAGCGATTTAATAGTCGCTGGGTACCTATAAATCCGTTTTATAGCCCACAATTACGTGATGTTTCCAGTCAGAAAAGTCCTAGTCGCACTCTGAACAAAAATATCTTGTTTTTACTTTTTTGCACTGATGACATCTCAATATCGGGCTTTTGTCTTTTGATGTAGGAGGATTTGCTTCTGAGGAATGGAAGTTGTCCAAAACATTGGATTATTTACATTATTGATTTCGGTTACACCAATCAAAGCCGTTATAACTTTTCCTCTAAACTTAAGAAGTGAAATATTTGTAAATTTTTTGTTTACATAACATAAATTCCATATGGCCAAATCCACTAAAGTGTAATCACACAATTTGTTTTTTCTTGAATAACTATTAAGCCAAACTCACGCTGGTATAGTAGTTATTCATATATACAGTGTGACCTTTTTCTAAATAGTCAGAAAGTAATGTCATAACTACAGAATGGGTATGGGAAACATCACTTTCTTTTATTGTACCCTTGCTGCATATACAAGAACATTGATAATAAATCCATCATTAGTAGATAGCACATATAATTGCATACCATACTCATAGCTTTTGTTGCTAAATACTGCTTAAAAGATGGGTTATCATAGACTCATCTATTAATAAATTTGGTCCGGGATAGAAATTTGTTTTGCAATTTGCCAATATTATTTCTAAAACTGGAGGTACTTTAAAAATTTTATTAGTATGATCAAGTGAATTGTGATTAGAAAATCGTAATATTTTTAGAATCCTCTGTAATCTGTTTCTGGACATCGTATGTCCAAAAATGGGATGATAATATACAGCGGATATTTACTTCACTGTTTTGAAAGTTGAGGGAAAACTACTGTATCACTGAGGCAGCAAAGTCCCATAAACTTTTTTATTTCCTGGACAGATATGTATTTCCATTGTTTGTCTCTTAGTGACATACTATTATGACTACACCAAATTACCTCATTACCTCTTCTATTTGTTTCATTGGTAATTAGTTGAAAAATGTTGTCAAAAATTGATACAAGTAGTCTCAACAGGTTGCACTTCAGGTGTGAAATTGACATTGATTCAAGGATTTCCAGTAAAAAGCATATCAACAGGGTCTTCTTTTGTATCAGTCCAATTATCATTGTTTTCATTATTGGGTGAAGGCGATACTTTTGGAGAATTATCTGCTACTAAAGTTCATTCATTCAGCAAATTCCCAACTATCAATAAAAGCACGTGTTGATGTTCGCCTTCTCATTTGTCAAGAGGCTATTAAATATAATTTATTACCTTAAGCCAGACAGATTCTCATGTTACAGATCCAAACTTGCGATTTTGTTTAAATTCAAATTGTATCGTGTTGGTTTTTAATTTAATATATTGTGTGTTATATTTGTTACAGTTATTGTTAAGTTATTTACTGGTCGTGTTATTTTTTAGAGTTTAGTTTAATTGTGATTTAATGATTAAATATCAAGAAATTCTTACACTAATACAGTGGAACCTCGATTATCCGTCAGGGCACCGGACCAAGGGTATGACGGATAATCGAAAAGACGGTTAACAGAACATTAAAAAAAAATTCATAGTATAACTCAAATTTTATTTGTATGTTTTATTTGACAATATAAGAGGGATTTATGTTTAGTACATAAAGTAATTAGTTCGACTGTACAGTGTACAGTCGAACTAATCTGATTTAAATTATTCCGAAATCTTTGTTTGTTTTATTGTTACTTCACATTTTGCAGCGGCTGAATGTCTTAATCGACGTAAAATCATCAAATTTACCTTATTTGCTTCTTCTTGCCGAGAATACCACTCGATAAATTGTTGTATGTGCGATTCAGCTTCTCCAGCTTTACGCAAATCTTTGTGAGTTGTAATAGCATCATCAACATTGCCACCATCAAAGTCTCTGTTAGCTTCTGAATCAGTTTCGTCCGCCTCTGTTGCCATGTCAACGATTTCATCATCTGTTAGCAATCGATAGCCGTTTGCGTCCTTATTACAAATTAACAATTCGTTTATGTCATCTTTAGGCAACGAAAACAAAACAGTTGATCCAGCCATATCTTCATTTAAGGGGAGTATTTTCATCTAAGTTGATTCAGGCTATAATTTATTCCACGCTCTGTTCAACGTTACTTCCGAAACATCAGCCCAAGCATCCACAGCATTGTCGACTGCGTGTTTTAAATTGTATGCTTTCCAGTATTTTGGCAAATAATATTCCGCTTTCATAACTAGGTTTTGAATAAATTCTTTTCTGTATCTTCCTTTGAATGTTTTAACGACCGAATGATCCATTGGCTGTATCAATGATGTATTCGCAGGCAGAAAAGAGTACGTGATTTTTTATTGTCACTCCGCAGCATACCGGCTTTAGGATGGGCAGGTGCATTGTCCAAAATGAGAATCGTCTTTGGTGGAAAATTTTTTGGAAACAAAATGAATTGATGAGTAAATTTTTACTTATGTTGTCAATATACCTTATGTATGGACCCTGACGGTTAACAGAGGTGACGGTTAATAGAGAGACGGATAATCGAGGTTCCACTGTAGTTTCAAAAATAAATATTTTTAAGTTTTGGCCTGTTTGGCTTTCACATGCGTATGTTGATAATTGGGAATATGTAAAATGAATGTGGTTTAGATCTTCATTTTGGATATCAGAGTCAGA